TATATAACTTTTTTCAGACCTCCGAAAAACTCTGTCAAATTTGAGTAAAGGGTTAAAACTTGTTCGAAGTAGAGGGGGATCACAACGGGAGCGAAAAAAAACGAGCAAAATTGAAAGTTGAAAGGTAGATGAGAGCCAGTTAGAAAAAATATATATTTTATTTCAGATCTCCAAAAAAAAACTCCGTCAAATTTGAGTTATGAGTGAAACTCGTTTGAAGCAGAGGGGTTCACACCGAGAGCGGACTTGCTCATGAGCAAATTTCACTCCCGAGGTAATCTTTTTGGAAGAACCAGATAATTTACTCGCAGATTCTCTTCATAGAAGACCAAAGAACCAATTCATAAACGTTCTTTGAAGACAAACGGGCTTTTTGTTTTATCCCAACTTATCATCTATTTCCACTCCCTCTCTAATAACCAAGAGGTATTCTTATTGGAAAATAAGTGTTCATGTTAAGAAAAGGCAAAGTTATGCCCACGAGACGAGGCGAAAATGCATGTACCTTAGAGATTGGCGACAATGCTTTTCAACGTAATTGTTTTGTGATTTGAGAAAAAATTTGCAATAAAACAACGGTATGACAAAAAACATAAAGAGTAATCCCTGAGAGAGCGGATTTTACTCCCGCTCGAAAAGTAGTAAAACATATTCGCTCTTTTTCGAGTGGCATAAAAAAATCAAAATGGCTCGCTCCCCTTTTTGTAGCGGCAGAAGTACTTCATCTCAGAATTCGAGTAGGGAGTGAAACAGGCCCTAAAAATGGCGCCTTTGGATCCGAAATATTTCGTAGGTTTAAGAATCATTTTTAAATACTTTTTTTTATTTGCTTCTGATACCACTGCACATGTTTTTTTATTTATAATTATCAACTTTTGTTTATCGGCCATCCAACTAAGGGTCCCCAAGGAAAATCCGAGTGAGTGTGTGTGTTTACTCACTCTATATGTGAAAATAAATAAATAAATATTGGAAATGCAACTTAATATTGACGAGTGTGTGTGTGAGTGGTTGAGTATTTAATTGCTATGTTAAGCAAAATCCTATGCAAGTTGGTGGGTGGCCGAAAGAGTTAATGAAATAATAAAAGAGAGCTGGAGATCATTTACACGCCACTTTTGTCAGAATTTTATGGCTGGAAATGTGACTCGCTTCAAGGCGTTGAGTTTGCAAAGCTAAAAGTATAAATAAAATGCACTAAATAAACAAACAAACAAACAAATATTTATAAAATATTTCGCTTTAATAGGTTTTCATGTCCCTTGCCAGCCATACATAAAGTTTTACGATGATGTTGCAGAAGTGCAACAATTGCTGATGGTGATGATCAACCAGCACCCACTAGTCACAGCTCGCTCCATGAAATACAATGGCAGTGTAGAGGAGAAAAACGCGCCCACAAAAAACGTTTCGTTTCATTTCTGTCAATTGTCATTTATCTTCATAACTGGCATAGCTGTTGGCTGCACTACTTTGTGTCTTTTGTTGTTCATCCATCTGTCTTTCTCACTTCGGTCTCGATGAGATCTCTCGCTTAGTAAAATGTTTTATCTTTGTTGTGCGAATGACTTAACTGTCGTTTGTTTGGGTGGATGGCTGCATGGATAGATGGATGGATATATTAGTCGGGTGGTGGTGAGCTGTCTGTCCGTCTGTCTGTCAAGACAAATCAACAATGAATATAAATGTTGGGTTAACTACTCATCAAAATCATCATCATCTCCATCATCAACGCTATCGTCATCTTTATTATCTTTGCTGTTGCTGTTGTTGGTTTTTGTGGCATTTTGTGCTAAAAATGAACCCACAACTAGATTAATATCTAAATTGAAAATGAAATTCCTGGTTCCAGAGTCCAAGTGGGAAGAACATGTGTAACAAAAAAAAAAAACTACAAAAGAAACTATGCAAGGAATTGTTAGGCATGGGGAAGACACAAGGCAAAAAGTACACAAACTTACAAGTGAATCAATACTATGACAAAAACTAATAGAGTATTCGTTAAGAGAAGAATCGGCTCGATTTTGAGCGAATTTCCCTCGCACTCGAAGATGGGCAAAGTACACTCACCCGCTTTTTCGAGTGTCATAGACAAATTGAAATATGTTCGAATTAATTTCCTCTCTCACAGGAGAGAGTAAAACTCGCTTGAATATTTCTGAGCTCTGCATTCTACATGCAAAAGTTAACTTATGCTTTCAGATCGTTTAAAATGCATTACTGGTTATAAGCGATGTATTGATGACTTTGTGTGGAAGAAGGGCAATTTTTATACTTGATCTAAATATGTATATAGTATATCTATTGCAACTTGCACAGAGTGAGATAAAAAAAAACTGCAACAAAGTCAAACGCCATAATTTTTAATTTTTTTTTTTTTAAATTTTATTGAATGAAAGCAAAACATGTCGGAAATAACATCAAATTTTAGAATAAGTTTAGATTTGTTCGAACTGGTCACCATTGGCACGAATTATGGCCTTCAAACGGCCCTTGAAACCGTCACAAGCTACCCGAATGTTGCTCTGCGGTATTTTGGCCCATTCCCGGTGAAGCACTTGTTTGAGGTGGTCGACACTTTGGTTTTTTTAGTGCCAACCTTGCTTTCCAAAATACTCCAGACACAATAGTCCAACGGATTGGCATCCGGAGATTTTGGTGGCCATCGTGCGGTGGAAATGAAGCGAGGACCTCATTTTGTAACCATTCTTGGGTGGCGCGTGCTGAGTGCGATATTGCTGAGTCCTCTTGGAATGTCCAAGGTCCGCGGCCAAAATGTCTGCGTGCCCAAGGCTTTAATACACCCTCCAGTATATTTTCGCGATAATATTCTGATGTCACGGTCGATTAATACGAGCAGAGAGCGACCATCGGCTGTTATGGCGGCCCACACCATCACCATGGCCGGCGGTTGAGTTTTGGTGGCCAACCGGAGATGCACATTTTCAACTGACCTCTTTGGCAATTAAACACCATCATTTTGTTTGTTTACAAAATGTTGGACAACGAATGTTTTCTCATCGGAGAAAACCAAATTCGGCAGTTCACCACTTTCGGTCAAGCGAAGCAACTCTTTAGCTCTTTTGAGTCTATTTTCTTTCTGAGGCGGTGTAAGTTCTTGCACTTTTTGGAATTTCAATGGCTTTACCCCGAGCTCATTTTTCAATATTTGCTGGATGGAATGAATATAAAGAAATCACACTATCACGCTTGAATTCCATCACGAATAACTTTTGTTCTGGAAAATTCTAACCAAAATGCTTTTCTACGCTTGTAAAAAATATAATGAGCTGTCACTGGAAGAATTTTAACATCTGTCGCACGAGTGGCTTAGAAATGACAGCAGTCTGAAGTTGGTTGCAGTTTTTTCATCTCACCCTGTATTTTTTATTGTAGAGAGCCTAACCAAGTGACGACTAGCCGATTCAAGTTAGTGACAAAGTTTTTCCGCAGTTTAAACAAATATGAGCAGATGGCCACGATCACCATAACCAAGACTTCTTATGTTTAAATGGGCAACATATCATTCTTTGGTCCACCACGGCCACTCACGCCTCAGAACCCACCTAAATATTTATCATTTCACCTAAAATTCATTCATTTGTAACATGTTACTTTCTTGTAGAAATCAACCTCGTAATTTTAGAAAGGGGGAAAAGTGGAGCTTCTTCACTTTGTTGTTGTATCTCTAACTGTATTATTTGTAAGCGCACAAGCGGCAAAGGGAGAGAGGGAGAGTACGCCACAGAAAACGATATTCATTGTTTTTAAGCCACCACCATAAAACAATAAACGCTTCACGGGCTAATGGTTAAAAATGAATCATTTGTTGTTATGCGTTCCAAATGTTTGGTCAAGATGTCTGCTCCTCTTCTGCTGCCATGTGCCTAAATGGTTTACACATTTGCGTTGAAATATTAATGAATTGACGACGTACTACCTCTTCAACCCTGCTAATGTGGACGAAACCAAATGACACTGAAAACTTTCTGTTAAATGATAAATGTAAATCACAATTGTTTATCAATTCGTTTCGATTTTCGTTTTGTTTTGAGGTCATTATCCTCCCGGTTTGGAGAACTAATCACAATGCGCCTAAAAGTCGACCACACTTTTTGGCCGCCACTCTTTTGCATAAATTAAAGTTGAAGTCAGAGACTCACTCACTCCCCCCATCCCCCAAACAAAGACTTTTGTTTGTTTGTTTTTATTAACAAAAGAGCCCATAAATTAATTTGATTTGTTTTCAGGTTAATAAAAAAAAATCAACAATTTTCACTTTCTTTTTGTGTAGCCATAGCGCGTCTTCTTTCTTTCTTTCTTCTTGCGAAATGTGAAACAAAACAAAGGCAAACAGTGAACAATAGTGTGGGGAGACAGGCAGACAGACGAACAGAGGCGGTAGTGAAATATTGTGTAACAGAATATAATCGGACATGTGTGTTACGGCGATACACAACCAACAACAACAACACCCCTTGATGTCTGAGTCTTCTTTTGTCGACATGTTGCTAGTTCAGAGCAGAGCCGCCTCCTTCCTTACATGACAGTACAGTAACACTGATTTTAAGTGTTTTCTTTTTTGTTTCTTCGGAAATGTACTTTTCTTGTTGCCATTTAAGCTACTGGTTACTTTTATTGGTTTCTTGCCATTATTTGCATTTATATGGGCCAAACTCTGTTTATTTCATGAGTTATGCTGAAAAATAAAATCTACCAATTAACAGTAGGCAGACAGGCAGACATTGATAGACTTGCAATGACGATGAGCAGGCTTATTAGTCATACCCCGATACAAGAAACAGTAGCAGGGCTAGATCACTATAAACGAATGAATCATCCATCCACCACCACCACTACTCAACCCCTTTAGGGTTTCTCAGAAATCTGTTTTTGTTTTTCAGCGTTTTGTTCAAAGTTAAGCTTCAATGCCTTTTGATTGATTTGTGATAATAGATTTCGCATTAATTGCTTTGTTGCTTCTTCCTCTTTCTTTGCAGATTATTTACATCACTGCCAAAATATACACAACATTTATTAGTTTTATTATTTGGTACATTCCGTGTAATAGCCAGCAATGCTGCTCACGCTGGCACCGGCATGACCAGTGAAGCTTTGGGTGTCTCTGTTGCACCGAGTTTCTTTCAGTCATGTGTCAGTGACGGCAAGACCGCACGTATGGAAGATGTTTTAAAATTTAAGGTAATTACGGCCGAAAATAAAATAAAAAAAACCGATTCCCATATGATTTCATTGATTTTTATGATCTTTCACTTTCACACAAAAACACACTCACACCCCGCAGGTAGCCACAAAAATTATGAAACACATCATCGATAAATTTGCCACACATGATCTGTTTGGTCGTGAGAACTATGAATATTATGCCCGGGTCACGGGTCGCATTCTAAAGGTGCAAGACGAATGGATATGCAGTTTTCAATATCCACCGCCACCCCGAGGCAAATTGGCCCAGCAGAAATATGCTTGTAAGTATTTGAGCCACATAGGCCTGGCGATTATGAAAACCAATCTTTTTTTTAACTTTTCAGTACAACATTCATTGGAGGCGGAAAAAACATGGTTACAATGCCAATGTGAACGTTGGGGCTTACGTGAGTATTACATTGTCAATAGTAGCCTCTATTTTGTTTTCTGTTATGATTTTAACATTTTGGTTAACCACTCAGATGTCTATCCTTAAGTTTTACTCTTCTGTATCAATGTGATCCTCTGTATTCTTTTTATTATATACATATTTCTGTGTATATTTTTACAAAAGTAAACCAAACCTCAGTGAATTACTAACTTTCTATAACAAACCTCAACGCAAGAGATAGTCAGTCTGTGATTAATAGAAACCATAATTACCCACTGAATCTGTTAGCTTTTGAAGAGCCACCAATTAATCTCCATTAGTTTCTGTATGTCTGAACTAACGAACAAAATTCAATCATTTCTATGTTTTCATTATTGCCCATTCGCCCATTAATCATATCATTTGGCTGAATATCCATTCATTCCATACCATCAAGATTGATTAGAAATGTTAGATATAAAAACAAAATATACATATATTACTTTTAAAATATAATTTAAACCTATATATACCTAGATCTGTTATTGCATACCCTAACTTTTTATATACAATTACTACTACTACTTTTCTTAAATTACCTAAAATGTATGTGTCTTTCTTATTTCTTCTTAAAATTCCAAACAAAAAATATATGCCGCTCTTTCTTCTCTCAATGTTGTTCTTATCTTATAATAATTGCCGATGATCGTTGTATACTCACTCACTCACCATACCTACGCCTCACCCCACAGTTGCTCAAGAGGAATCTCGTTCCACACCCGCCTTGCTAACCAGTTCTAGCTCTGCTTTGGATAATAGTGTTGTATCACTTGGTGTTACACCCGAACATTCATTTATGGAATCATGTGCTCGACTCTCTGTTTCTTTAGAGGGTCCTGGTCTGTTCGCGATGACATCATCGCCATTGCCGAGCCGCAATAAACATGATTTCCAGCCGGACGATGAAGATGACGACCTAGATGACGAGAACGAGTATAACGACGACGTCGACGACGATGGTGATGACGATGATAACGATGGCGACAATGCCAATGGTGGCGGTGACAATGCCGAAGATAATATCGCCCACGATTTAGACATTTCCTCCCACAATGATGATGAGAACATTGAGAATCAATCCAAGAATGCCAATTTCCATTTGACTTCATCGTCCACCTCAACGTCAGCGGGTAGATCACGACGCACCCTTAAATCACGATCGTCCTCAAACGATGCTGGAGGAGGAGGCACAGTATCGGGCGACTACACATTTACCGATAGCCAGGACGATGTGGATGGCGATGAAATGATGCGTTGCGTGGTGAAGCGACGCTACAAACAGAACAAAAAGAAATCTCCCAGCACCTCGAATACAGCCCAGATACGTGGTGTCCAGCAGCAGAGACGACTACGGACAGGCATTAACAATTCCAAGGGTATGGACACCACACATTCTACGACGATGGCGACTACGACGACAACGGCAACTGCAACGACCATGAATACAACACAACATCATAACGACTATCTGAATGACTATGAATTTATTGGAAAATCTTCGACATCAACCTCCACGCTGAAAGCCCTTACCACCGACTCGCTTCTGACACAAAACATGCAACAAAAGTCACGAGTTTGTTCGCGCTGCAAGCGAGGCATACGCCACTCCTCCTCATGTTCCTCGTCCACGGCCTCCGGTGGTGGAGCCGCTGCCAATGGCGGTACCGGTGGCGGCATGACCATGGACGAGTTGAGAGCCGTCAATCGTTATGCAGAAAGTACAAAAAGTTTATCCTACTTGCCACAGGTGAGGGATGAATACTTGCTTGCTTCAAGGATTTCGGTATAAAGCTCATTTCCTTTTTTTTGTTTTTTTTTTATTAACTTTCATTATTTAATTATTATTTTTCCTTGAATAGATTTAGTTCCCCTTAGAATTTAGTACATACATATATTTTCTTTTTTATTTTAAATAAACTAAAAACAAAAAATGCCAATAGTGAGAACTTTTGTTAAAAAGAAAATAAAAAAGAAAACCTAAAACAACAACATTATAAATGCAATGTTTGTTATAGTAACTTGCGCATGTCTTACTGTTGTCTGTCTGTCTGTAAATGTTTCCCAGTTTATAGGTGGAACTTGGCAAAAGCATGTTTAAACTGCAGTTCCCATTTAGCTTACTACCATCTAGCTAACGTTTGAAAGAAAAGCTCTTACCTAGAATATACCTAAATAATAATTATAGCTAACCAATTTTTAACGGAAAAAAGTTCCATTTGCTTGCTTTTAGAACAGGCAAATAATAACTCATGCATAGATAATAGAGGAACGCAAATAAAATATCTCAATCACAACATACACGTGTTAAAATCAATTGAATCAATCAATCTTAATTTGAACTCCAAGAACCAAACATTCCCTGGCTGGGCTCCTGGGCTTGGCCAACATAACCTACCTACATACATAAATAATATGCACCCCCATCACCACATGAACATTATTATGACATTCCCAGCTCATTATTTTCAATGAGTGTTTAGGCATTCTCCAAATATGATTTTTTTAAATGGATTTTTATTAGCATTTTTTTTTCATTTCAATGGGTTTTAAAAAAAACAGCTTATTTTTTCAAAACTTTATTGTAACATTTATAATGCCTTTTTGACAAACAACATCGAACAAATTATAAAAAAAAACAAACCAAAATAAAAACGATCAACAATTCTAATATTATTTGCAATTCAATGTAAATAATAATTAGTACAAAATACATTATCAATAATAACAAAGTAAAGACAAAATCTATACTTGAAATCAAAGTGTTTACTTTAATTTGATTTGATTTTCCAAAGCTGCAAAGGCTAGCCTTAATGTAAAAAAAAAAACATTTGTGTATATATTTAAAACATTTATTTATTGCAAATTGAATCCACTAATTTTTAGCTTTAGATATGAAACTAATTTAAATATAATAAATAAACCTACAATTTTTTAATAATAATTTTAAGAATTTATTATTTTTTTAAATAAAATTTGTTTTTTTCCTTGTTTCATCCCAAAAAAAAAGCAAAAATATGTTTTAATTTCTCTTCTTTTTTAGTTTTATTTTCTTAATTTGTATTATTTGGCTTAATTTCTTTTGTTGTTGTATAATTTTAAAATTCACCACTTTTCCAAAGTACTCTTTGAATACTTAATCACTTTCCTCCGACTAATCAATGAAATTGGCTGTTAAAACAATAGCGACGTTTTTTTTTTTTTTTTTGGATCGCAGAGCAAAGAATGAAAATTTTAGAAAATACATTTGTGGAGACATAGAAGAATATTTGAGTTTGCGTTAATGAATTCTTTTGAAATAATTTGCTTGTTTTTAGTACGATTATATTACACAACAGCGATATTGTTCTACTCAGCTAAATTTGTGAAATTATTTAGGTTTCCATTTTATTTGGGTTAATTTTTACTATTGTATGCCAGTCTAGTAATAATGCTGAAAATAGTTACTGTTATTTATTTTAAAACTCTTTTAAATTTGAAATTTCCCAACCAATTGTAATTGTATTGTTAATTCGTTCGAAGTTTCTTATTTAAGTTCGAGTGAAAATCATTCATGTCTCATGTATTATCACAATTCAAAATTTATTTCCATCCAAGACTCTTGTTACCAGTTTCATATGATTGGCCAAGATTTCAACTTTCATTTGAGTTTCCTTCTTGTCGTTTATTGTGTTTTAAACCACGTTTGCAGCTTTTTCATTGCCCTAGCCTGTGTCCTTTATAACCACCAGCATCTACCCTTCACTTCTTTCTTGATTACGTTAATTTAGTAAGAAAACAAAAAGCACTACCACCACCACCACCCGCCACTCTCACCACCTTTTTGATCATTATTCCGATGTTGTGCATTTGCTTTTAGACCTGTTTTCGTGCACCCCCGTTTATTTCATTTGGTTTGCCTTTAAACAGCTACTTAACTAACAGTTTAAATCAAAAGTTGTACAATAATAAATCTTAACATGTTTGTTTATGTTTCTTTTTTTATTTTATGTTATTCTTTTGGTTGACAAACACCACACAAAAAATATCTTCCCGATCTTTTGTATGTCTTTTTTTGAAACAAATCAAAATATCGATCAATAACCTTTAAAAAAAAACACAACAAACAACATCAAACAAAAAACAAACTACTCTCCATCATGCTATGACAACGGATGTGTTTTTCTTCCCACCTACCTCTTCTACCTTTGTAAAACGATGTGATGTGTTTGGAAATCTGAAAAACAAAACCCCATCCAAAAAATAAAAACCAAAAACGAATCATTTCTTTTCTCTGCAACTACAAAACACCTTTCAACAATGGCTGGCAGGTCCATGAACGACAAACGGCACGCATGCGCACACGTTCTGAGTGGTTTTTGGGTCCAAAAGATGACGACGATGTTCTGTGCATGGCCAACAATACATGTAGCAATTGCTATTTAACGGTACATGGAGGCGAAAATGATATGACGGCATCGGGCAGTTACTTGGGTGGTGGCAGTACCAGAGACATGCGACGTGTTGATTTGGCCGATGTTCATAATCGCACGGCAATTAGCTCTGGTGGCCCCACGGGCCATGCTGAGGCTGTCAACACCTCACTGTATTTATATTATAAACAACAGCAGCAGCAACAACAACAGCACCACCACCCGTCACGTCATCATCTCCTACAAGCTGGACAAAGGCAGAGTTTCCATTTGGCTCCAGACTTTATGATGGACACCGATGACTCTTATTACCACCATGGCCATGGTGGCAGTGCGTTTCAGAATCAAGGCACCAACAACAGCGCGCAGGCATCAGCCACAACACATTCCAGCAGCATGCACCAGCAGCAGGCAACACAACAGGCCATGGCAGCGGCAAGTCATCAGCAGCATCAACTAAAGCCACACACATTGGCGGTGGCTGGCGGCGGAGGAGGAGGAGCAGTCCTGTATTTGGATACAAACTATGGTATATATGATTTTGATGATACTGACATTTTAATTTCTCCTAACTCTACTACAACTACAACTACTACTACTACCACATCCAACACTACCACTACATCAGAAAACAATTATTACATGCATAACAGCAACAGCAACAAAGAAAACAACAATAATGACTATATACTACTAAACCAACGCCAACAACAACATTTCAATTTAATGCAAAAAACCATGGGCAACAACAACAGTAACAACAATTGCAGCAGGGACATGACTTTAAAGTCCCTGCGGCCAAAACAGCCATCACCATCATCGGTATCATCATTATCATTTAATAAACCATTATCACAGCAACAGCAACAGCAACAACAACATCTGCATGCTTATTTCCCCAGCAACAATAATAATAATCATCATCAACGCCATATGTCTCAATATTATTCTACCGAATCCCTATTAAGCAATCATAAATCATACTTAGATGTCAACTGTGGTGACACAAAAGACTATCACCATCATCATGATGATGTTGATGATGATGAACTGCCTTGCTGCTCAACCTCGACTCTGGCATCAAAACTATTATATCACAGTCTGCGCGATGTGGAAAGGCATAATGCAAGTGATAGTGATGATGATGAGTTGTCGTTGAGAAACTCCAGCAATGCTAATCTGACCAACACCACATGCACCACCATTAACCACACTACCAGCACCAATGCCGCACCTCCCTCATTAGATGAGCACGACTATGTGTCAGGTGTGTCATCGTATCGCCACTCTACGCCCATGATGCAACAACGACGGCGTCTTCAACGCCAAACACAGGGCCTGAGACGCCAACGTGTAAACTCGAATTCTTCATCCCTATATCAATCGTTTAATGCCAGCCTGCAGGCACCCATGGCCTCAGCCAATCGTGGCCACTTTACGAGTGGCCGTAATTCAAGAAATTCTTCACTTTTTGAATCACGTTCCTCATCATCGTCCGGTCGCATTGGTGGCGGTAGTGGTGGAAGTGGTGGTGTTGCTGTGGGCGGCGCCAGTGCCAGCAATGCCGGTCTTAGCAACAGCAGTAGTTCGTCGAATAGTAATTTTGTTAGTATTGTATTTAATGTTTTAGATTTTTTGTTTTAAAAATATTAAAAAAAATCTGACAACACAACACTGTTTTAGGTGTGTAACGTTTTTTGTTTTCTTTATTTTTAAAATTATTTTTTTTGTGTATTGTCTTTTTTAATTAAAAAATGAAGTGTTTTTAAGGATTTTAAGTTTTTTTTTTATTATTTAATTATGGATTTTTCATTTTAAAGTTGTTCTAGTATAAAATCAAAATCGAATGATGACTTGAATATATAATTATTTAAGACGATTTTTTGTCAAATTTGAATGGATCATATGACAAGACAAGAAAAAAATTGGAACCTTTTTAGTATTGAATCAAAAAAAGGGGCGGTATGAATCAACATGTAACGCTCACCCCCACACCCATATCCATGTCTTAAATATACTAACAGATTGTCATATTATATGTTTGTACACATCTAGAACAACTCTTTTTTTATATGTTTTATAATTAATTTTATTATAATTTTGTAATTTAACTAGTGCTTTAAATCATCTAAATTAATTTATTTGTTTAATTTATGTATTTAATAACCCGTAAACGATTTTAAACAAATTGCTCAAATATATGTGTAATTATTTTCAACAACTAATTTGTTTTCATTACCAAATATTGTGCGTGCCTTTTTATACCCCACCCAGGCTCAAGCTTTCTTTTGTTTCATTTCTTTAATTAGCTTTCAATATGTATTTGAGTTGAGTACAACAAAAATGTTGTGTATTTTATGTTTCTTCTCCTTCTTTCTTTTCTGGTAAATAGAAATACTGTGATTGTTGTGTATTAACCCAAAAACAAAATCCTTCAACTCCAAATGTTGTTGTTCATGATCCCCATGACCCCCCAAACCCCACACACATTCATGTATAGTAGACTGACAGCCTAGCATTTGACGAACGATCAACAGATAATTTCAATACAATACATTCAAACCAACCCACCCACCAAACATACGTATCACAGTAGACAACACCTAAGTGTGTCCCTTACCACCACCAACCTATTTCGGAAGAGATGTCTAAAATCAGCTTTAACCAACCAACTCAAATGTAACTTTCTTTCTTTTCTTGTTTTCTTTTTTCTTTAATCCTTATTCGTTGTTCTTCTTTACATTGTGCAACTCAATTTTGGTTAATTTGTGTTGTGTACCGAATTCCAAAACCACAAAAATAAAACAAAAACAAAATATATAAATAAAACAAAAAACTCTGAATACCTTGTAAATAAAAATGCCCTCACCTCACCATGACGATGACGACGACGACAAATTAAAAATGAATAACAAAAAGTTGGCAACATCCGTTTGAGTAACAGTGCCGAATCGGTGCAGTATCCCGTGCGCAGACCCTCGACCAGACGCATACTCTTAGGTGCCAACATACCCCGGCAATATCCTCTACGATCTTCTTTGCGACGCCACAAAGAAAAGCAAGTGGGCAATAATAGCTGTACATCCTCCTCATCCTCTTCCAACAACAATGGCCCAGCAAGTACCAGCCCAAGGCCTGTTTCAACAGCGGGTGGCTTTTTAATGGGTAGCAGCTCCACATCCGATGCTCTGGCTGCGGGCAGTGAGTGCTGCAGTTCCTCAATGGATTCTAATACCACTGCAACACTTACCTTCAAGGCTCCACGAGTTTAATGCGAAGATTTCTCCCCAGTAGAAAAGAAAAAACAAAACAAAAAACGCCCGAAATAATAGTTTGTACATACCATACCATACTCTTATAAATATTTTAGATTACTCTTATATACCTTCTTTCAGAAAAAAAGAAAAGTAAACTTCTAACTTATGGTAAAAAAAAAATAAAACAAAAAACAAGTCTGATTTTAAGTTATATATGTGCATAATTTTTTTAAACGAAAAACACTATACATTTATCTATTAGGGTATAGGATTAAAAGGTTAATAATATTACTTGGAAGTGTAAACGTAAATGTCATGGTGATGCAGTCAAACGGTTAAGAATGTCCAACTTTATTTTCCCACTTTTTAGGGTTATGAATGAAATGTAACCTGACCTTTTGAAAAGTGAAACAAATTGCCTGAAATATTACAAGGAATGTGGAATATTTGTTTTTAGAGGCTAGTCACAGTCATGTTGTGCTATTTTTTTATAGTAATTTTATGTACATTATGGCATTTATTGTTGCTCGTTACCCAATGGAGAAACTAAAATTTGTAAAGCATTTGAAATTTTGTAATTGTGTTGAGGAGATTGTGAGACAAAGTCAAGGTATGGTTTCCTTACCACATAGTCCGTATTTGGGGAATCTCCTCTCAAACGAAATGAATGAAAAAAGGAACAACATTTGATTGTCAGCTTGAAAAATCTATGTGGATCTTTGACTAATAAACATCATAAAATATTTCACACGTGTTATTAAAAATATAAAACGAGGCAGCTAAATATCTAAGAAATTAAAAAAACATGTGCAAAAAATAACTACTAAATGTTTGTTACTACAACTACCCCTAGTTGTGATTGTATGTTCTTCAACTACTTAAGTTATAAAAACCGAAAACCGAAAGACTTTTTAAAATAACTTTCCTTGTTTCCTTTGACTTTTTTTAGCATATCCTTAACCAAAACAAACATAAACCGTAAAACCAATGGTATCAATTCTAAAACAATCCTAGTAATTTACTGAAAATGAAAACGAATTCCGAACATAATTTACTGAACGATATATAAAAATATATATAATTTTATTTCAATTCCAATAAATACGCATTTATTAGAAATTTGTCGTTTCTTTTAATAACTTAAATGTATTGATAACAAAAAAATTCTAGAGTTGTAGTCCAAGAAAACGAAAATAAAAACAATTCGACCTGCTAATATATGTTGTCTTAAATGTAAAATAAACAAAAAATATTAAAAGAATGCCAAAAATATAAACATTACAGCATTTCAAAATAAAGACGATTTAAAAGTCTAGCTTTTGGAATGCAAGGTCATAAAAAAAACCCGCCGTCAAATTGGTTGATCAAATTACATTCATGTATGCCCGCACTCCGTACTGGAAATGTACCTTAAATGGGCGGAAGAAATAAGTGGGCATTACAATCATCGGGTCATTAGCTTACAATTGTAATCATTCAAAAATATTGATAAAATGTTTATTTTTGATCAAATTTATTTTTATTAAAATCTCTTTTTTGTACATAAACTATATTTTCCAATATAAAAGAGTTTAAATGTAATTTTCTAAATATAGAAGCTAAAAAACAACTAACTTCAAGAAAATTGAACACCAATAACACTTAGTTGTTATAAAGAATAAAAAAAGAATATTTTTTTAAAATTAGTTTAAAAAAAGTTCAAATAATTTTTAGATTTTTAAATAGAATTTATTTTATTTAAGCTATGCCGAAACAAAATCACCCTTGAAAGGAAGTAATAACTTGTGTATCTACTTCTTTTGTTAATAAATTTTCAAATAACAATGGGTTGTTATTAATTTTTAAAGTAGTTTTCTTTACAATGTAAGCAGAGATTAGTTTTCCTTCAGTCTTTTTTGTAATATACTCTCTTTTGTATTATACTTTAATATACATACGATATTTTTTACTATTAAATATTATTAAATTATTGAAAATCTATATTAAATAACAACTACTATTTACATATATATATGTACGTCGTAAATATATTTTATATTTATTATTATTAAAAATATTGTCAAGAAGAAAAACAAAATGAATGAATCATTATATTAGTAAAATATATATTTGAATTATATATGAAAAAAAAGAAAATGATAATAAATGTTAGAAAACATATAAATTACAAAAAAAGTGAATATTTTATTTGTCTCTAAGAAGTTAATATAAACACTCAACATGATTTAACATTTCTAAGAATGTAAGTATTTAAATTCTCTGATGGTATGGCAGATTTTAGTCCTGAAACTTTAAGTTTTATCGGGCCCAATCTTGTCTATGGACAGTGGTAACAGCCATAACGACTTGTAAGGTTCTAAAACTAGACAGTTGGCAAATAAGCTAATTTGTACAGGTTTATTATTATATACTTTTAAAACTATCATAATGGACAAGAAGCAGGTCCGTGAATCCTCGGAGTGATCTAGAGCAAGTGATCGATTAGACTTATAAATATTTAAAGACGAGGATTCATAAAATGCTACATCAAATTGTAATCGTGTGATTGCATGAGATTACCTTGGTAATTGTGCCATAATACAGATAACGAATTCTACGTTTACCCCTGCATTTAGAACAAGTGTTCGATTCCATATCTTATTTTCCGCTTCTACATGATTATTTCTTGATTGACAACACCAAAACCACAACTATTGTCCGATGATTCAAATCGCCAAGAAAATAAAACTGCAGTAATATAGCTTGTAACATTATACATACACACATGCATTGCTTTATTTAAATAAATATGGTTTTTTACTTTATGCACAAAATACATTTGCAGAAAATTAAGTTCAAGTTCCATTTGGTTTTGGAATAAATATTACTAAAATTCCCTAAAGTTCTAAATATAAAAATTGTATTATATAATACTAGGCATTTGAGATATAAATATATTGGCTCTGGCAATCTCATTAGGTACGTTATCATCAGTGGGATTCCATGGCCATGTTAGAGAGGGAGGGGGGTTGGTGAACAACATCAATTATGAACACGCATACTAAAATGAGATAATTTTCATTAACTAATCGGATTTCGACAGAATACACAAACTTACATAGGTATATATTTTGTTTAGTTAAGTCGTTTGTCCACAGCATACATTCGTTATCGCCTGTTATTGCCCCAGATTATAGAGATTTTTATCCACCAAAATGCCATTCTCAATAAGGAAACTTTCCACATCCGAAGGGAAGAAATCATCGGACAAATCATCCGTTACTCTTACGAAATTGCCAATAACAGCCTGTGCTTTGTACACCAACAAAGCCGGCAGACCTTTTTGACGGAAATCTCGACTCATGCCCGCCACTGAACTACAAATCTTGGCAAATTTCACTGTGGGATATTCGGTGGCCAGGGTATCCAGGCATTTGTTCAAAGTGCCACATGCTGAAACAGATTTGTCATAAATGTGTATTATAATGGTTGTGTGTTTGTTCTCCTTTTCCACGCAATTGAGAAACTCTTCATGGGAGTTGAGATTCATAACTTTGCCAAAATTTTGGCTATGACCACATTGGCGCATCATTTCGGCCATGCGTTGTTTTTGATACTGCTGCAGAAAGTCCTCGGACATTAATTCGGCAAATTCAGCTTCCAATTCTTCCTGTTTCTTTCGTTCCTCCTCCTCTTGGGCTGTGGCAGTAGTCATCGTTAATTTCTTGGCCAATTCAATGCGCTGCCTATCGCTTTCTTCGCGACGTTCCGCCTGCAGCTGTTTGAATCGTTGCCAGTCTTCCACAACACCTTTGGGCCCGGTATTGGTGGAGCCCATAGAACGATACCCCGCTGCGGGGGGTGGAGGGCATACATCGGGATCAATGAATGCCTGGGGACCTTGAGCGGCCCGGGCACCTCCCTTTTCATCGGCATCATCATCATCTGGTTCATATTCACCTGGTTAAAAATAAATATTGTGTTT